GCTGAGAGCGGCTCCTCCGGACTGCCACGGACCCGCCATTCCCAGGGGAGAAGCAAGAGCTTTTCACCCTGCAGATAGACCTGAAGCGTGTCCGGACGTGCAGCCCCACAGGTACAGGCAGATCCCAGCGAGAGGGGTCGAGCACGTCGCACACCCAAGGGCAAGGAGCCCTCAGGAGATGGGAGATAAGCCAGGGCAGATCCTGCTGTTGACAGAAAGGTGAGGGAAACGGGGAATTTTTGCAGTTGCCGATGGAAAAAACCCAAACGAAACAAACTTCAGCAGGGGAAAAAAAGAAGGGAAGAAGATAAAACACTTCCCTTGCGGGACTGGTGTAAAGCACTGCTTATCTGGAGCCTTTTCCTCTTTAGAAGTGTTTTGAAGAGCTAAAATATTTCCAGAAAGGTTAATGCTTGTGCGGCCAGAGAGCGCAATATCAACCTTGGGAGAACATGCAGTATTAAAAAAACATTCAGCTTGACCCCCGCGAGGTCAGAGCCAAGTTACGCCTCTCCACCGTCCTGGAAAAGCCGCTTCTCCCAGCATCAAAGCCAACACGCCTCCAATTTACAGCTGCATGAAACCTCCCCGCAACCGCACGGCTCGACTGCTGCCCTTCGCTCCCCGTTCCCTGGCAGGTTTCCACGTGAAACAAAGGCAACCGCGGGGCTGCGCAGGAATTCGGAGCTGGGTGGAGAGGCGTTCGCGGAGTTATTGTTCTGGGCAGAGGGGTAGGAGGAAAGGGAGCGCAGGAGAGCTCAGGAAACCAGACTGCAAACGCAGATCTGCGGCAGGAATCGGCACCGGTTCCCCACGCTGTGTGGCGGGGAGGGTGGGTTTTAGCGGTGGTGGGGCTGGAAGAGTTTCGGTGCTGTTGTTTGGGGGGGGAAGAAGCTGTACGATTCACCCCCTCCCCATCCAGACAACCTGAACGAACAGCGCAGGTCCAAAGGGGATGCACCACCTCCGCCGTCCCTGCTTCGCAGCCGAGGGAAGAAGGTGGAACACACCTCCATCCTCATCACCACCAGGGGCCTAATTAATACTTCTAATCGAGCAGCACGCGAATGCGAAGCATCATTAAATCCACGGGCCAAACCTACAGGGATTTCTGCCACCCCCAGTAATTCCGAAGCGAGGCACGAACGCGCTCGCACAAAACTCCTGTTAAGGGCTTGCATCCTCTTCTTTTCATGTCGTTTATTCTCAATACGGCAAAGATTGAGCGCTCGCAGAAGAAACCTGACATCTGTCAGGATTATTCACCTCCAGTGCAGCACGCACACTGCCAGTGACATTTAACCACGCTGTTCTCCTTCGCCTTCAGGAACCCGAGCGGTTCCTGCGGGATCCCGGCTGCGGATCCCAACGCTCCCGCGGGATGATCTCCTCCTAACCCCTTCCCACCTCGCCTCGGGGGTTAAGGTAGCGAGGTCTGAGCGGGCACAGGGGTGGGATCATCACGCTAAGAGTATTTCAGCGCTCGGAAAGCGCAGGGGTTCCACTGGTCATGACACCGAGTTGCCATAGGGCACTTTTGGGGGCTCACAGACAGCAGATGCAAAAGGGGCTCCGAGGAAAACCCCGACTCCCAGCCCGCCTGGAGCAACACAAGCAAAACGGAGAGGCCAAGAGCGTCAGAGCTCGCTTACCTGGGACTTCGATCGTCAGCGATTTCTCCCGGGTCTGCAGCCTGTACACCAGCATGTAGGCATTGCGCGAGCAGTGAGTCCCCTTCCCGCACTTCGGTTTACGAGTCTGGGATTTAGAAGGTTCTGCTGCGGTACAGAAGGCAAAACATAATGAGCACACAAGCTCGCTCACCAGCTCTCCATTAACGGGACGAGTTTGCCACCTAGCCGGTGGCACGTTCCCTCTCCCCGCTGCGCTCTGCCAGGCCTCCGTTTGCCAAGCGCTGGGCTTGGCACGAGCCAAAGCTGCATCCCAAAGCAAGACCCAAATCCCTCCAGCGTTTCTGGAAGCCGAGTAATTCAAAGGGACTAGAATTAGGAGCCTTCTCTGAACCGCCCTCTGCAAGAGCCTTTCTTCTCTCCCCAGTTAAACCTCACTGAGCCAAAAGCAGCTCTTGCAAAACCATCTTTTCTCCCCCCTGCCTTTTGTTCTGGTGTCCTGACACCAAAGGACAGAGTCAGATCCTCAGGGAAGAAAATCTTCTTTACGTGTGGTTGTGTATGTGAAGAAGCACACGCCCTTCTGCTGGGCAGCAAAGCTGCCCCTAAAAATGGAGCAAACGGCCACAGAAATGGTGATTTTTTTAAATAAAGGAACAACGCTCCACAGGCCAAACTCTAAAAAGAACACTGAAATATTAAGAAAAGTGTCTGTCTTTCTGAAATTCTAGAAAATTTCACGTGCCTCTCCCACCGCACCATCCAGGGGACTTCCTGAATGCTCTTTTTATCTGTGTTTTCTCCAAATATTTTCTAAATTGTTCCCATTTGCGCAACCAGGCCGCCGGACTCTCCCCACAGCAGACCTCTGCTTCACGTCACCGACCCTACCCTGCTGCTGCACACGTCTGTAACAAAGCAGAGTCTCAGTTCCCCTGGGAGCAGGCAAATAACATCAACGCTTGGTAAATACGCCAAGGCTCCCAGGCTACAGAGGCTTCTCAACGCGCCTCACTTACGGTCTTCACGCTGCCCTGTATTTCAGCAAGAACACTCACTTGCGGTTAAGCATCAACCTTTACAAGGCCGAGGCCACAAGGGTTTATTTGCATTTTATTTTGCTACGCTGGGTAAGTCGGGAGGTTAAAAAGCAAGGCTGAGGAGCTCTTCTTCCCTTCCAGGGCTCATTTTTCTGCCTCGCACCACTAGATGTCTAGCCAGCCCCGCCATTCGGCTGCAAGCGAGCGGCGGGCAAACACCAACCTGAAAAGACCCCCCCGCCGCCAGCCAGCATTTACGTTCGTCGTGATGAAGTGCAAAGTGTTTATTAGTAAAGGAGCTGAACTTAAAGCAGCACCACGCAGATGCGTGCGTGGAAGGAAGCGGGAGAGGCAGGTGAACGCCCCAGGCCTGCTCGAGGCTGTGCTCGGGCTGACGGGGCTTCACAACAACCCAAGGGAGCAAACGCACCCGAGGGCGTCTTTATTGAAGGAGGCTTTAAAGAAAGGCAACGCTTCGTAAAGTCCAGCTGCAGCAAAGCACGAGGGTCCTGGTGGGCTGGTGTTTCTGGGAATGGATCGCCCGCACCGTAAGTGAAATATCCGGCACTGACTTCCCCATTTCCCAATACTGCAACGCGTCCTGCGCTGAGGAACACTGAGGGACCGCAAATCCAAGCACTCAACATGCCAATCTAATGCTGAACAGCTCCTATACATCGACTGCAGACCGAGAAACCTGCAGGACCAGCCTCAGCCCAAGCTCTCCAAGAAATCAAGACCCTATCCTGCCCAGGGAACACCGCTACCCGGGCAGCAACAGGA